ACCACGCGCAGGCATGCACGTACAGTGCGATTGAAACTTCGTGGCCCATGCGCAGAAGTCGGTATTTTGTGAAAAAGCCACACCCAAGGGGCCAAAGAGCCGCATGTGGCTCGAGAGCCGCAGTTTGCCGACCACTGTGCTAAGTGAAATAAGTCAGTCAGAGAAAGACAAGTGTCACATGGTCTCACTCATGGGGAATCTAATGAGCAGAATAAACTGACGAATAAAAGGGCTCAGAGGGAAGGGAGCCTGGAGCAGTGGCGGGCCTCAGAGGGAAGGGAGTGGGGGCACGGGCAGAGAGTAGCCACAGACCTTATTGCATAAACCAAGGCCTCTGGAGAGACAGTGTGGTGAAGACCCGGGAGGGGTGCGGCTAGGTGGAGAGGGGCACCGGGGGCAGGCAAGCCCCTCCACAATACATATTTAAAAATAGGAAAGTGACAGCATGAGCTGAAACCCGGGGTGCGCACCCGCAGGAGCCCTTCCCACCAGGCCCTGTCACCTTCCCTCCCGCTGAGGACAGAGGCCTTACAAGGGCCGGGCCCAGACCTGGCTGCCTGGCCTCTTGGAGCGGAGCTGCTCCCCTCACTCTGTCCCTCCGGCCGACCGGCACACAGCTCCTCTGGCCTGGGACCCTTCCGCCCAGGGCCTCCCCCAGGCTCCCCCATATTCACACCATTGCATTTAGCCTGCTCATCTGTGGCCCCGGTAGAATATGAGCCCCGCCAGGGCTGGCTCTGCTGTTTTGTGCATCACTGTGCTCACAGCCCTCCCACCGTGCCAGGCGCAGTCAGTGCTTGATGAACGTCTGAATGAAGGCTCACCCCTGTGGTGACCCCAACTTCCAGGTCACTGTCCCGAGCGCCTCCTCTGCGCAGGCGCCCTTCCCCCAGGGCCTCGGGCAGATCAGGCTGCCCCCCGCCGCCCAGCGCCGGCTCTGGCCCGGGAGGATGCATACCCTGGTCTACGGACCTCCGCAGGGCGATGAACTTGGCCCCCTCGTCCGACGTGGACATCTTTCTGGCCTCGGCAAAGGCAAGGAGAGTGCCGCGCGGGGTGGCGGCGATGAGCGGGATGCGGAAGGTGTCCACCGCCGCGATCCGCCGCCCGCTCACCCACAGCAGCTGCTCCATGGTCACCAGCGGCTGGACCTGCGAGCGGAGGAGGGGCCACGCGGGCACGCGTGACGGGTCAGGACGGCGGGGCAGCGGCTCAGTCAGGTCCCCGGGAGAGGCAGCTGTGGGGTCGCGCGGGGGGCGGGTCCCAGAACCAGGGCGGGAGCCTCGGGGGGGAGGTCGGAGGGCAGGGGCCTCGGAGCGGCGGACGGGCTGCGAGGGGAGAGGCGCCCTCGGAGAAGAGGGGCCTCCAAAGGGGAAGAAGCGCGAGTGCGGAGGGGAAGGGCCTGGGCCTG